AAAAAAAGAGAGAGATGTGAATTCTGCGATCGCCACCAAGGTCCACGCAACCCTCCGTGATATCCTTGGCCCGAGGTCCGTATCTGCTACCTCCTTGCCTTCGCCCACAACTACCGCGTGTCGAACGCTGTCCGAGCTGACACAGTGGTCAAAGCCCTTCACGCCGTCGGCGAGGGGATATCCAACTTGGACCAGCCTGATCCCCGACTCGGCTCCGACGGAAAGCTCCATCCCATACTCACTGGTTACTACAAAGGACTCCATGACGGCGACGGACCTCCCGACCGGGCCTACCCTGCCAACATCTCCATCCTCCAAGAAATGCTCTCCGCTCTCGACTACGTTGACCCCGTCCGGGGCACTGTCAACCAACACACTCGGGACCTCTGCATCTGCGCCTTCTTCTGGCTCCTCCGCCCTGCCGAATACCTCGACACCAGTAACCCTGAGGCCCGAAGCCAGGCCTTTCTCCTTGAGGACATCACCTTCACCATCGCCGGTCGCCTCCAAGTCACCGCTGACAAGATCTCTTTGAATGACGTGTCTGACCCCAGTCGCCTCACCGCGGCTTCGTTGACATTCACTGACCAAAAGAACGCCGTCAAAGGCGAGTCGGTGGGTCACCGGGCTACCGCTGACCCCTGGCTTTGTCCTGTCAAATCCCTCGCCCGTCTCGTCCGTCACATCCGCTCCGCACACATCACTCTCAACACTCCATTGGAGGCTCGCGCCTCCACTCCACTCTACAAACACTACAACTCCGTCCGTAAGAAATGGTACAACGTCAAGCCCAAGTTCATCACCGATGCCCTTCGTGCTGCCGCAAAGCGGCTCGAACGGACCACCGGAATCTCCCACATGAAAGTCTCCGCTCGCTCCCTCCGTCCGGGCGGCGCCACTGCTCTCCTCTGCGCCCATGTGGACTCTGATGCCATCCGCCTCCTCGGTCGATGGAAGTCAGACGCCATGTTGCGCTACCTTCGAATCCAGGCCGCCACTATCACGCACCACTACTCCCAGAAAATGCTGGCCCATGGTGCCTACACCTTCCAGGCGGGATCCTACGACAAGTTCCTCCCGCCTGCTCAGGCGCCTGCTACTATCGCAGAGATCCTCCTTCACGCGGAACTCTACGAGGACTAACCTCCCTTAGTCCAATTTCCCCAGAGAGACCTTGCCTCCTCTCGGTCTCTCCAAACTTTTCCCACCCCGCTACGCTCCCACCCTGTTCTGCCTTTGGCTATTTGGGTTGGCCGAATGTCGTACAATCACGCGGGACTCACATCCCGCGGGACTGCCTCATTCGTGCCTTGGTTCCCGCTCGGGATTCTAGCAATCACGAGCGGCACCCCTGGGTAGCGGAGACGGTCGGCTCAGTAAATGGCCGAGTCTCTCCACCACCCTACTCTACTCAACTAGTCGTGCAGTGCTGCTCTAGGCGAGCGCCGCTTGTCGGCGCTCGTTGTCGAGCAGCCGCACGCAAAAGAGGACAACGATCCTGATCCCTATCCTTCCTCGCAAACCTGAACCCTCATGGGTTCTTCGACGAATGACTCGACTCACAGTTGCCAAACTGTACCATCTCACAAAACACAAAATCGATTCCCACACTTCGCTCCTACACATCAAGTACATCTCTACATCTCTCAGGTCATCACCTGCGTTCCTGAAATGGATACCCCACATACATGTCGCTATGTCTGCCTCCATTCGAAAGATCGGCTCTAAGGCAATAGCACCCCTCGAAGACCGCTCACAGATAGCAACCTTGAATGAACACAACATGCAAGACCGGTCCAACTCTCTCTGTCAGCCATTGAACAGTCGATCGCAAGAAGGTTGTCTCCTTCTCTGCTCACAATTCTTCCTTCAGCCGAGCTGCAAGCAAGAACTAGAATAGATTAACCCACCTCTCCCTCCCTGGGTTGGCCGAATGTCGTACGATCACGCGGGACTCACATCCCGCGGGACTGCCTCATTCGTGCCTTGGTTCCCGCTCGGGATTCTAGCAATCACCAGCGGCACCCCTGGGTAGCGGAGACGGTCGGCTCAGTAAATGGCCGAGTCTCTCCACCACCCTACTCTACTCAACTAGTCGTGCAGTGCTGCTCTAGGCGAGCGCCGCTTGTCGGCGCTCGTCCCTGCCTATTGCCTCTTATGTACGTAATTGAGGAGTACAGTCGTACGATTATGAACACAAAACAGCCAATCATTCCATTCAGGTGGAAGTCTGGTTCTCCTCACCCAGAAGCTGACCATCGCCAATCAGATTCTCGACTTCCAACAGCACCATACTCATAGTAGAACAGTTACACCAGTCACATCCACAGAGCATGTGGCCACAGTCGAAAGTAAGGTTGTGTGCAGAACACAAGCTCTCAGGGATAATGCCAGAAAGATCATTTCCATGCAACAAGGCTTGGCCATAAGGTGCAGGGAAAGGAACATTGGCAAGCTCCAGGGGCACTGTTCCAGTCAAATTATTGTCATCTAGCCAAAGCTGATGTAAACCAGTAAGCTGTCCAACCTCAGTAGGAATGGTTCCTGTCAGGTCATTATTATTCAAGAGCAACACTAACTGTTCTTTCTTGTACATTCCAAATTCACTTGGGATTGTGCCGGACAAAGCATTCCAACCAAGCCACAAGGCAAGCATCTTTGATAGCAGACCAAGTTCTGTTGGGATCTAGAGGGGGGGGGACACCATGGACTTCATGTTAGAAGAAGAAGTAACTTGACAATTTGGCACACAACGGCTTACAGTCCCAGACAAGAAGTTATCCTTCAGTGTCATGCGTTCCAAGGCTGTTATGTTGCCAAGCCACCTGGGGATTGTCCCCGTAAGACCAGAGCTATGCAGGTACAGAAATTCCATGTCTGTAAGAACTGCAAGCTCAGATGGGATCTAAATGAATTTACCGAAAATATTGAGCACAGCTATAGGACACATGTGCACCCACCCCCCCAAACATCACTGCAAAAACTTACATTGCCACTCAGCATATTGTCGGTAAGATCTAATGTATCCAAGAGAGTCAATTGCCCAAGTTCTGTCGGAACTTTCCCCGTGAAGAGGTTGCTACCAAACCAAACTGACTGCAAACTAATAAGCAGACCAGGCAGCAGACCCAGTTCTGTTGTTGGTAACTACAAGATGAAGAATAGGTTGTGAGGACGGCTAAACTGTATTCACAAAAGACAAGAATCAAAATCTACTTACTGGTCCTGTCAGCTGATTTCCTTGTAGAACAATAGTTCTCATGGAGTACGAAAGCGAAAACAGGGATGATGGAATCTGGCAAAGACATTAATTCAAGGTTAAGGCATGACACAGTGAGATTTTGCAACAAGCTCTCCTTAGATACATCATAGGTCGCCACTTACAGTTCCCGTCAAAGAGTTGAAGGGAAAGGAGATAACTCCAAGTTTTGACAAACTTCCGAGTGCTTCAGGGACAGAGCCAAAAAGCCCACATCCAAACAGTGAAAGGTACTCCAAATTTGAAAGGCCAGAGAGCTCTTCTGGGATGGTGCTGGCAACGTTGAAGTCATCCAATGCCAAGCTCCTAAGTTCAGTAAGCATGTAGAGCTCTGGTGGAATGCCTGATCCTGTCAGGCGATTAAAGGACAGCCAAAAGTGCTTCAGGATTCCATCTCCCTGATACAAGATGCCATCCTCTAGATAGCCACCTGGATCTTTCTCACAGGGGCTGATGTGATCCAGTGGGAAAAATATATCGGCGGAAAAAATGAAATAAAAATCCTCCAAACTTGAATACCAAAGGCACTCATGAACACTGTGGTTGAGCCAGTTATCGCTGAAGAGCCATTGTTCTTTGCTGTTGGCAAAATAGAATACTGCAAGTACAAAACGTTGTACAACTCTCTGTTCTGTAAGGTTGTGTAGGATGTCAATCTCTTCCAAGAGCCACTCGAATGCCCTCAACTGAGGCGATTCTGGGTCCTCCAGAATTGCAGAGACTGTTGGTTCAGGGAAAAGTGACAGCCAGTATTCTGAATAGGATGATGGCCCCTGGGATGGGTTGCTGCTGGGCACCTCACTAGGCACGGCTGTATCCCGTTTCTTTCCAGGTGTCAAAATGGCTACCAAAATAATCGTGATGGCCAAGAAGACAATGACTCCCAAGAGGACCTTAGTTTTGAATTGCTTCATCCTTTCTTCTCTGTTGTTGTTGATGTTGTCCGGATTATAATCTTGCGCATGGGGCAGATCTTGAGGGGTTGTTTCATCTGCCACTACCAAATTGGCCACAGCCAAGCCACTATTGCCATTTTCTGGTTCGATCGTAGGTGGTCGAGTAGTCGCTGGTCCAATGTTTGTCTCTGCTGTTTCCAAATTTTCCTCTGGTGGTTGGAAATTTACACTAGCGTAGGCTCCTGGTTGTGCTTGAGGTCTTCTGTTGGCAATACTCGTTTCGGCTGGAGGCAAAGGCAACATTCCATGATTGCCATCATTTTGTACCATATTGACCTGAACTACATCCTTGTTGACAAGTCCAATTTTGTTGTCCTCACGTGTGCTCGAAACATTGCTTACTATTTGTTCCTTGTGGTGGTTCTTCTGCTCAATGGTGTCCACAGCTGGAGAAGCTTTAGCCGAAAACGATTGTGCCTCATCTTCATTCTCCTTCTTTTCTTTGTCTTCATTCTCCTGCTGCTCAATGGTGTCCAAAGCAGTTGATGGAGAAATGTTCCCTTCTGGAGTGGTAGTGTTTTCACCTTGGTCGAGACCTGCATCTTGGAGCAGCCGAGCCTCCACCATTTTGACCCCGTCGAATGAGGATAATCTTTCTTCGTCATATCCCTGTGTCCCTGTCCCGGCTACAGCAGCCTCCATGTTTGCTTGGTCTGGCTCTGAATTTCTTAGCCGTGCTTCCACAATTTTAGCCAGATCCAGAGGATCCAATCCTTCTTCCATATACGTATTTTGGGGGGCTGTCTCACTAGAGTTTTCCTTCGAAGCTCTTGCTTCTTGTTCAAAAGCAAGCAGCTTTCGACGTTCAGCCTCGCCAGCTTCACAAGCACCACCAGAAGCACTTATCCTGGCGGCCTTTTCAATAACGTCGAATTCTATCGTTGACTGTGACTGGTGCGACTCGTCGAGATCTCCCGGTGTGCTGGTTGATACAGCTTCTGTAGGAGCACCAGTATCAGTGCCAGTATCACCGGGCATCGGCACAGCTGATTGGTGATCATCATCATCATCATGTTTGTTTGCCTGCATGGTTAAGGTTTAGTTTGATAGCTTCGTTCCTTTGTTGCCACAGCTGTTGGCACTCTACGGTACCAGCAATTTTTTTGGAAGAATCAAAGCGAAAGCAAACAGAGTTACGGTGCAGCTGTATGTGCTCATTACTCGATCAGTGGTGAGAGAAAAGTCTGTGGCCGCGGAGATGAATAAGGGGGGTGTGGCCGCGGAGATTGTTTCCTAATGACATTGTCGGTCTTCCTGGACTGTGGATGTTAATGGACTCCAGAGGATCTGATTTCCATAATCTGAGACACGCCCGACGATCAGGGACTGAAAAGGCTTAACATGAGATGGATTTTGTGACTGAGAAGGGCATTTGTTCTAAATGGCACTTGAATCACAGTTCCAAAGCCGAACGCAGCCACCTGTTCGGCCTCACATAATTTTCTCATTTTGGACCAAAAATTGAAAAGGTGTCCGAACGAATTCGAGAAGCCACTGAACTGGCAAAAAGACGAAGTGCACCCGAGCACTTTTACTGAACTTTGTAGAAGTCAACAGCCCTCTCCCACTATTATCCACTCCACAGAGTTTGCCTGGTCTAGACTACGTTAGATCAGTACGCCTATCTTAGATAGTCTGTAATCCTCATATTGTGGATAGAGTCCATCCTCTTTTTGCTTCCCCGTAAGAACTCGATCCTTTATAAAATAGCGGCCAATAGGACGTTCAAGTTTTCTTTTGGCCATTGCCGATATCAACCAAAACAACCAAGTCGACATCCTTCATCAGATCCAAAGCTCTACGGTAGCATACGGCATAGCCGTTCCTTCTCAAAATTATTACCCAAAGAATGAGCGAGAAACAGTTTCATCCAGAGGGAAAGGGCGAGGAGGAGCGCTTCGACGTGCTCGAGGTCGTGGCGGCCCGAAACAGTGGCAACATTGATGCAGAGCGCCAGAAATTGGAGTCTTTTGCACAGGAAGCACAAACGAGAGAGCAAGAGCAAGAGCTGGCACCGTCTGACTCACTACATGGAAGGAAAAGGCACCATACATCAAGCATAAGTAGCAAAGCAAACACAACTGAACAGGAAACACAAGAGGACGAACGTGGAGGCAATGGAGATAACGATAATGATAGCTTCATGATCAAGGTTGTACGCGAGCGACAGAAAATTCACCAAGCAGAAGCAGAAGCCACTGGTGCTATTAGTCAGCCGTCCACGGAACTAAAGCAGCAGCCACCCACTGCCGGTGGCACTGCCAACCACCCCGGTGCGTATTCTGCGGCTCCTGGTACAGATCCACAAAGAACGACAGATCTTCGACTATCCTTGGTGGGTCTGCCCTCTTCCACTGCAACACAGATAGCTGGTTTGGACCCAGAGCTTGGTGATGTTACTCCTACAACATTGAGCCGTAAGCCAAATGTTGTTATCCAGGTGCCACCAGGAGCAGAGCCAGTTTTCGGTCCCGATGTTCCAACCGAAGCTGGTCCCAGTCTTCCCACAATCCAATCGGACAGTTTTAGTGGAGGCGGCCTTGTGGAGGCAGATCCCGTATCAGAAGAAGATGACGAGGCCATGCAGAATGCCACACAAGTCGATACAGAACAGATAAAAGCGAGGACAAGCGAAATCAAGCGACAAAATCACAGAAAGTTTGCCTTGGCATTTCTGGGTATTGCAGTTGTCATCATAGTCATTGTTATGACCATCCTGGGGGGCACCGGCTCCTTCTCAAAGGACCCTCCTGAGATTATAGAGGCCACCCCTCCACCATTCAAGAATGCAACACGGCCTCCGACCCCTTCACCCACCCAGGCCCCAACACAGTATTTGGTTGTCCTTCGAGAGGAACTGAATCTGCCAACTGCAACACTTGACAAAATTGACGCCAACAGTGCTTCAGCACAGTACAGAGCTTTTGATTGGCTAGAATCGAATCGAGAGTTGTATGATGGTCTGCTACCGTGGCAGAAGCAGCAGCTCTTTGCTCTGTTAACCTTTTACTTTGATTTTTCTGGTCCAAAGTGGCCCAAAGTAGTGGGGAAAACTTGGCTGGAGGAGAAGGACGTGTGCAGGTGGTACTCGGCAGAATATGGTAAGTTGCTTGTTTGGAGACTACAACGTGTGCACCATATTGTGAAAGTGGATGGGTTGTTCACTGATTGATTGATTTGTGTGCGATTTTGCTGCCAGGGGCGTTTGATGAGGACGGGGGCTTCCTTGAGTTTGCAAAGTTGAATACAGATATCCAGCAGGCAACTGCCAGGAACTCTTGCACTTTTGATGGCAAATTTCAAGCTTTGGTAATGGCCCAATTGCCTCTTGAGGAGGAAGTCCCGCAGATTCCAGCTGAAATCTCTCTGCTGACATACTTGTCAGCATTGTCGTTGCCTCACAATAAAGTCAACCGTTCGTTGGTCGACCTGCTATCCCCTGAGATTTATGAGATGGAGAATCTGGATTACATCAACTTTTGGAACAATTTCCTGTCGGGTCCATTGCCTTCAGAGTTTGGGTCATTGACAAAGCTGGATACCATTGGGCTGCGTGACAACCAACTCACGGGCTCCATTCCTGCTAGCTGGAGCAAATTGACCAATATGAAGGATCTGGATGTGGCAAACAATAGGTTGACAGATTCCTTGCCAGATTTCTTTTCAACTCTGGGTTCAATGACGAAATTGACAAGCCTGAATGCCTTCTCGAACTGGTTTGTGGGGCCACTACCACCGGAAATTGGCCTTCTTACTTCCCTTGGAAATCTGGATTTGAAGAGGACTGCTGGTCTGAACGGCACAATCCCAACTGAAATAGGCCTTCTCACTTCCCTTGAACGTCTCAATTTGAACAGAAATGCTGGACTGTATGGCACAATCCCAACAGAGATCGGACTTCTTACAAGCCTTACTTTTCTGGATCTGTCTCACTGCAGTTTCACTGGTGAAATTCCAAGTGAAATTGGTTTGCTTACAGGCCTGGAAAGGCTCTATTTTATGCGAACTAAATTTTCTGGTACGGTCCCACGAGAGATCTTCCTGCTCACCAATCTTAAGAGATTCTACTTCGACGCCAATCCGAACCTGAGTGGCTCTATACCAACTGAAATTGGGTTGCAAACTGCACTTGAGAAAGTCCAGATGTATGCGTGTGCTCTGGGTGGAACAGTCCCTACTGAGATTGGCCATCTTACGGCTTTGGGGCATTTCTGGATAGGAGACAACCCCTCCATCAATGGCAGAATACCTAGCGAGCTGTGGTCACTACCAGCCTTGACCAGTCTTGGGCTGGCGAGGAACAGCTTCACTGGCCCAGTTCCCTCTGAAATTGGCATGCTCCAGGCCTTAACAAACCAGACAGCCACAGCTGCAGGCAGTGGGGTGAACATTGGAGGCAATGCATTGAGTGGCTCAATTCCCAAGGAAATTGGACAACTTGTTGGCTTGCAGTATCTCTTCCTTGGTGGGAATACTGGGGTATCTGGCGGAGGTTTACCATCAGAGTCTGGCATGCTCACATCATTGGTTAAACTTGTTGTTTCTGGGAGCTCTCTTCGTGGCAGTCTCCCATCTGAACTGGCATTACTAACGGGCCTGACAGCACTCGAACTTTCAGAATGCGCACTCACTGGCTATATACCAAGTGAGATTGCATTGATGGCTGGTGTTAAAACACTTGACTTGTCAGCAAATGCTCTGATTGGGAGCATTCCCAGTGAGATTGGATTGATGGAAAACCTTGCGGAGCTCATGCTCCACAACAACTCTCTATCAGGGACTATCCCAGAAAGGCTCGTAGGAAATGAAAGTTCACTTGCCCGTCTTTCATTGGAGAACAATCCTGAGTTATCTGGGGTTGTGCCTGAAATGGTTTGCTCATTGGGGTATCACAATGCCAGTGAAGGAGACTATGCAGGATTATCATTTGATTGTGAAGAAAGTGTTTTGTGTGGTTGTGAATGGTGTATTTGCTAGTTTGCTTGTACCAGTAGCGGTGAGTGTTGGAGTGGGGTGGATGGTTGCAGAGGGTTATTTGTTGTTGGCTGTTAATGCACATTGGATACTTGATATTTGCTAGGAAAAGCTTTTTGTGTACTTTCTAGAATAGAGCAACATCTTCATGGAAGGTGTTTGTTTGACCTTGCCAGTTTGAGACAGCTCTTGTATCCTTCTAACGTCCCGTCTTCTTTGATAAAGGAAAGACAGTCCATGCACTCACCCAGGGCTTGATACCAAGATGGGTTTCGTCGAACGGGTCCCCTCAACACCTAGCCGTCTACTCAAAGCAACAGCTCTGCCTTCATCCTTCAACCGGAGAAGGTTCCTGGACGGTGTTGTTTCAACGATCGCAGTGCCAAGCTTTTAGCAGCTCTGCAGGGGAATCGAAAGAAGCAAAAGACGATGCAGCCATGCACTCGGAAGTTGGGAAGTCGGGACACATCGAGACATTCCCTCTCCAAGAGAGCTTTCTGCTGGAGTATCCACATATACAGTAATCCATTCCGATTGAGAGGCACCAGCATGGTCGAAGACAAAGACAACCTCCCGTCGAACGAAGAGAATAGCAGCTCCACTAGTGAGGAGGAGGAGAGCAAGGCTGAGAATGCTACAGCAGAACCAAACCAAGACGATGATGATGAGATGGTGGTAAAGCTACTCGAGTCGATGAAGCTGGCCGAAGATGCCTTGCGACAAGACAACCAACAATTACAAGACGAGAATGACGAATTGGCGCTGGCTATGAGAGAAATGCGGGAGCAAAATGAGCTGATGGAATCCCAAACGAAATTGTTTGAGGAATTTAGTGTCAATAGATTGGCCGAAATCCAGCAAATGACGGATCTGCAAGAAGAACTACTGGAAGAAACCATTCCGGCCTATGAGGACATGATGGAATCGATACTGGAAGACGTGGAAGAAATCAAGAGGCGACAGAGTCAAGTAGACTCTCTTGTTTTGAATCAGTATGGTGTACAGAAGACGAAGCATCCTAAGGAGTGATGGCTTAGCCAATTGTTGCTGTCACAGGATGATCGAACCATTCCAATCTAGCTAGCTAGCTAGATCCAACAATCAATCCTTGGCCTGTCTGATTGCCCATGTGCTGCTCTTTTTCAATTGGACGGGGTTGCAGAAAGCTGTGCACGCAATTGAATGCCTGATTTTGCCCACGAAAAAAGAGCAAGTTCCGGTTGGAGGTACGGGTTCGGTATCCCTTGTGTGTTGGGGTCTATGCTGTACCGTACAGGTTGTTGGCCCTGGGCGTCAAACGTCAAACGCACCGGCTGGCCGGCTGGCATCTCAATAAATTACATTTTAAAAACACACACCATAGGTACCCAATAATGAATGAATCCAATCCAAATCCGCTCACTGCACTTGGGGCTCCCACCGGGACGGTGCATGGTAGAGGGCTTTCCTTCCACTCTAGTAAATATTCGAATGATCAATTCAATCCAATCCATCCACAAAAGCAACTCAATTACTAGCTAGCTAGCATTTTTTCGCCTGCTTCTGGTATCCATGCACTGGAAGGTTTTGTCCCGCCCGTATGCTTCCCTTACCATTGCGGGTAGGATGGCCCTGCGAGGATCGCAGGCCAACTTCATTCCACATTTCTCAATGCCAAACAGTCACTCATGGTCTGATGACCAAAATGAGGGCATTCAGAGTTTTCAGTGCTGGCCCGGTTCACTTGCACAACATCGGAAACGAGACACCGTCAACGAAACACTGTGACTTGTGCTGTAGTCGACGATCGACAGTATCTCTGGCCCTACCGTACGGTAATTGCCTCAACGTAACTCCCGCAATAGCAATACTGTAAACGGAAAGATCACTATCTTAGTAATCTAGCGACTTCACTTGCAATTTCAATGCCCATTTCACTGGAGAGTCTGTCGCGAGTGTTGGCTGCTTGGGGCTTCCTCAATTACTCCTATAGTTGACACCCATGAGCGGCTTGGATGTCTTGAACATCATGGTGTAGTTCTTGAAACGAGGCAACAAGTACTGTGTGTAAGTTAGGGCATTCTCTAGTAGTTTTCGTTCTAAAACTCGTCCTAAGCTACTCGTCCTAAACTTTGGACGAGTTTTTAGGACGAATTGGCAATCTCTAAAAAAGTCGTTCTAAAACTCGTTCTAAATTTAGGACTAAGGTTAGGACGAGTGCAACCTCTAAAAGTTAGAGGTTGCGTTCGTCCTAAATCTTCGTTCTAAACTAGAGTTAGAACGAGTTTTAGGACGAACGAAAGTATTAGAGAATGCCCTTAATGGTAGCTGGGCTACTCCATCGTTGGGTCCAATGGTGACCATGCCTTGGTCTAGTTCTTTGAGGTTCGCAGTAGTAGCAGTCGTTCCATCCAAGACGACCTTGACGTTGTGTCCCATAGTGGGCCCGTTTTGCATGATCAAATAAATAGGCAGCATTCCTCAATTCTTGGGCGCAATCTCCAAACGCAAAGACATTGTGACATCCGTTCAAGCGACCGAACTTGTCAGTCTTTAGAAAGCCCCTCCCGTTGGTGGCGTCATCGATCTGAACAAAGGAGTTATTGGCAGAGAGGCCAACGACGGATACAATCTTGTCTGCTTCTAGTTCCTCCTGGGAGTTTTGCAGAATCACCTTTCCATCTTTTTCGATTCCTTTTTCGTTCAATATGAACATTGACTCCAAGCGATTCCAGCTTGCCTTTGGCCATGGCAGCAGCACCTTCTGAAAATTCATTCATGAGACGGTCTTTTGGAATGTACCAGAGTTACGTCTACATCTTTGTGCTCCAGCTTTCCATATCCTGCGACATCTATAATGGAGCAGCATACACGAACAGCAACATCTAATTAGTAAAAGCATGGTTTGTGAGTACTGTAGTGTACTTTCACGCACGTGAACACACTTACCTCCCGCCAGTTCCACTCCCACCAAACCACCTCCCACAATGACAACCTTCTTGGCATTCAATAACTCTTGTCCGTAGTCCTTGAGTCGTTCCAACCGTTCTTCTCGATTGCCATTATATCCATTCGGCAATCCATTGCCCGCATTGGTCCAGGATGCCATTTTTTGGCTCCGACCGTTACCACGGCGGCGGCAAACTCAAGGGTGGTTCCATCTTCCAACTTCCAATTCCGCATGGTCCGTCGTAAGACGGATCACTTTGGTTGGTGCGCATGTGCTGGACATTCTTCTCTTGGCAATAAGTACCTTCCTAGTGGGATGAGAGAATCCGTTGTCGTCGAACGGACTGCGATAACACGCCCAAATCAACTCGCAGAAATCTTTGGGTTCCACCGTTCCACCAGAACGATCTCGACCGTGGGATCCAACTTTCGCAGTCCAGTAATAAAGGAAACACCCGCCGTGCCGCCTCCAATGACAAGAACAGGTTTCTTGTTGTTGTTGTTTGTATTATTAGTAGTATTAGCACTCATATTGTTGTTTGGAAATGTATGTGTTGTTTGAGTTTATTTTATGAAAGGTCCATCGGTGCTGCAACAAGAGGCAACTCAAATTGTGGCATTGGATTTTCAATTTGCTAGTCGACTTCGATCGAAGCTTGCTGGGAATGGTGCGGAAAGTGCGTGAGGCTCCAAGGTGATCTCAGCCAGCTAAGTTAGCAAAAGGAAGTACACCACACTGGTACCAGTAGGAGGAAAGGAAACAAGTTTGATGCCAAATAGACAGTTTTACAGTTTTACAGAGTGGTAGCTGGTACCAGCTACTACTACTAGCTAGTAGCTATTTAAAATAGTACCGTAGGAGCCTCATGGAGTTCTTTCAGGGTTGTTTCTGGACAGGTCGGGTCACCAGGCTATTGCAGCACAGCAAAAAGCACCTGCGTGTAGTATCTAGCTAGCTAGATATCCAACAAAGCCATCCAAGAAGCAACACAGCCGTCAGGTTTTCCTGGCCCTTCCGATGGCAACCCGTGCCCAAGCATTCTCTGGAGATTCCAAACACAGCAAGACTTCAGTATTCAACTGCTTCGGGTGACGACAATCCCACATCTAAGAAGCTCAGTTTGCCTGTGGGGGGTGCACAAAACGATGGATAAAATGATGTATCCTACGTCCATTTGGCCATTACTTTTGCTGTACCAAAAGGGCAGCATTTTGAGGCAAAAGAGCTAGAATCAGGGCATACTGCCTGCTTATGCTAGTAACAGATACATATATTATTCATTTGCACCTAATTGTTACAGTCTAGCCTATGATTACCCAGTAGCTACCAACGTCGTCAATTTAGCCACCAGGTCACCAAGCAAGTCGAGGACTTTTACATAAAGGAAAATGGGTACCGACACAGGAATCACCATCAAAGTAGTAGTCTAGTAAATCATCAGGAGGGATGAATCAGGTAGAAGCGATGATCCTCTCCCTTGTGTTTTGTTGTATATAGTGTAGCCTCCTCTTGTAACCTTTTCAATGACTTGACTTGACAACGATCTGTTCAAGTAGGGCTAGAGGAGTTAAAAGCGATCAATCGACAGCCTCTCCTCTTGTTATCCAAAGCAATTGGTCGTTCGACAAGCACTCGACACTGATATTCGACAAGAACTCTTGACGCTGATATTTTACCGGCCGTCCGTAGTGCAGAAAGAAAACAACAAATAACATATGAGTTTTGTTTTCTGTTCCGAAAGCTCTGCAGAAGAAAATCATTGACTTAAACTTGTTGTCCAACTTGACTGTCCAACTTGACTGTCATCGGCCGAGAAAAGAAAACCTTCTGAGCCGGTATGATTTCAATGAGAATGGCTTTCAGTTCTGAACCGGAAATGCTCCTATTGATTGTGGCTTTAATTGTACAGTCAGTAGTCGTATTTTCTCAACTGTTAGCAGTAAGAGAATTGAAAGAAAGAAATAGATTTTCTCTTCTATTCTGAAACTAACCAGCAGTTCGTTCAATCTTGAGGACGATTTGACTTGATTCAAGGTTTCCTGTCATCAACTCCCATTACAATTATTACAAAGCCAAAGACATGCCCACAATGAGGATAGAGATCAGGAGCGGTGGCGACTTGTGCTTTCAGTTCTTCAAAGACGGTCGGCTTGATAGCAGAGGCGCAATAGATGGCGGAGGTGGAAGCAGAGGTGCGAGAATACTCCTACGAATCCGAGCCATCCGATCGACCAGGCACACCCCAGCCAAAGATGGACCCAACTCTTCGCTCCTGTACTGGATAGTAGTAGTAGTGGCAACTCACATTTTGTCTCTCTTCCCATTTATCTCTCCACGGTTAGTCAAACCACACTTTTTGAACAGCATCAACCTGGACAATGAGGACGACAACAGCAACTGGAGCAACCAGCACTGTGGTGACGGGAGTTGAGTTGAGTCGAGTCCTTGCGATTTGCTCTGGTTAATGCCACTCATGTGCAGTACCAGGAATCCCTCTGTCCTTGTGGCGTCTCATTCAAGAAAGCATCTGTCTCTTCACCTGTGTCTTTAGTGGTGCTTCGTATTTGTGGGGGAAGTATTGTTGGTTCCCCACATCTGCAACACAAAAAATCATCTGATCCCCCAATTCCATTACCAGGTTTATATCACCCCATCGCTTTTTCTTCCCATAGCTTTTTCAAAGCTGTTGGGGTCATGTTTGTCTTGGCCACTTGATTCTGTGTAAACATCAATAGGTGTGCGCTTTACCATGGCTGTGCCAACCTGCTCAAAAGCCTCCGTATACCTGATTGAAAAATTGGTCTTGCCACTGATGTTTTTATAGTAGTGTACTGCCAAAAAATGTTTTAACTAGCCCCCTTTGAAACCCCCATCATTAAGTCGTGAGGAAACCTCACGGATTCGACCGAACGATTAAAAATGCTTCTTCGCTCCACCCAGAAGCTTTCCTGGAAATCGTCATGCACTTGAATTCGATGATGCTCGTCGAAGATCGTCGTGGCCAATGGTACGGTAAGGTAGGAGGGAGGGCGGAGGGGGGAAATTGCTTAACGATGAACGCACACCCGCTCGTCTGGACAATCGCATTGGTTCCGAGTGCTCTTCCTCCCCTCCATAAAATTTAACTCAGCCACAAAAAAGTCCAACACCAGCCAATGATGACATCCAGCAGCAACAACGACAACAATTGCAACCATGACTACAGTACTACTAGTAACCTTTCGTTACCCGAAAACTTTAGTGTATTTTTGGTGGGCCACTGCGAAGAATGGCCGGAGAATCGAGAAGAACAGGGCGATATTGCGCTCTATCGAGAGTATCTGAGAGCCGGAGTGCCAGCAGACAACATTTTGTTTGTCAAGGATGGAGACTGTACCCAACAGAATTGTCAAGCGCAACTGGAAGAATTTTGTGCCTCAAGCACTGCATCGACATTGGTATTTTACAGTCTGCCCTCTCTAATATATATAAGGGGGGAAGGTGGATCTCAGTAAATATAACAGTGACACTAAATATAGTACGTTCTGGAGGCTAGCCACTAGTGAAAAACGAATGGATAGAGCCGTCACGTTTGCGTTTGCCAGCCCTACATGTTGGTCTAGGTCGGATTGGATCCTTTGGTATGGTTTGTGTGAAATTGTTTGGCAGCTCACCTGAATTGTTTTTGTCTCGTCAAAACCATCCTTCGAAAAATGCACGTAAAGAACCAGGGCTTGGGCTGGCACCGACGAGACAGCCTCGGAGAGGTGCGTGCAGAGATACCGCAGAGGTACCCAGGAATGACACCTCCATTGGATCGATATCGGCATTTGACATGCTGTCTCGGTCAAATTGAAACGGTTGGAATGGATTGTACGACGTTGTTGGGCTCCTCGAAAGATTTGTTCCTTCATTCACGGATACCCGGGACTGGGGGGGGGACCTCGAGATTTAATAATTATTACAGCGACCAATAAATACAAGATTATAATTATTAGAGAGGGCAGACTGTACTATGGCGGACACGGAGAACCGTACGGATTTCAAACACTACACGACGAATGGTCGTTCGAACAAGTGGCCACGACGATTGACCGACAGTTTGGGGGAACTCGAGTGCTCTACTTGTTGGACTGCTGTGCGTCGGGAAACATGCACCGCCATGTGGCTGGTAAACAAAAGCAATACGTGTGCATCACCAATACACCACCGTACGTAAGAGCCACGGACGAAGGAGACGAATGGGTCGTCAATCATTGTTGGATCCAAGCCATGCGGGCGTCATTGTCATTGGAAGCGACTATGGAATTCATGGCGGACCGATTGGCATTGGTCTTGGGAGATCAAATGGTGGCCACGGTCAGTCATGGAGTGGACTGCCAATGCAACGACTGGATGCCTCTACGACCACAAGCACAAGAAACAACGACCAATCCAACCAACACTCTTACGTGGCAGCGACTGGAGCAACACATTCCTCCAGAGGCTCAAGTCACGGCGGAAGATTGGTCCGTGGGAGATGTCGTCTTTTACAAACATGCCGGAGGAAATCCCAATGACAAGACTGGATATGTCCCTCCAGGGTGGCTCAAGGCTACCATACTTTCAACATCACAACAAGAGGATGACGATAACTTGTTGCAACTACAAGTCCACTACCAAGATATACCGCAATGGCGAGTCACAGCGCGGAGAGACACACTCATGAATGATTGGTACATGGGACAAGCATGGATGCTACCCGATGGCTATGAAAAAGCAACAGTACAACTGGCACAGAAATATTTCAAGTACATGGACTATTCCATAAAACCCCATCAATGCGTCCGAACCAATGAGGGCAAAGAGGCCATCATTCTGGATTGGAGGGAGTTTGATTGGGAAGGGTACATGCACAAGTCCTCCACCAAAGAAAATCTGCAAAGGCCTCCCTTTGGAGCTCACGTACCAGTTCAGTGGGTTGTGACCACCAATGACAACTACAACAATGACAACAACAATACACAGCAAACGTTGTTACCCGTGGAGTGGATCCAGGATCACACAGCTGCTGCACCATTTCCATTGGAGCAGTTTCCCACCGAACCGGACCAACAGCAACACTGGGTCCGCAAGGCACTGCTACAAAGCATCCAATCCAGTGGCAAACAGATTTGTCATGCCGCGACCAAACTGGGAAAACCTGATGATATTGATGATATTGATGACAGTGTGATGATGATTGCCTACTGGCCGCAAGATGGAGAGTGGTACGAAGCAGAGCCACTCGATCCAGAAACCGTTTCTCTACAGATTTTGGCTAGTCATGCCCAATTCACATTGACCGGCAGATACTGTCCGGTGGCATACGAAGATGGAGAGTTTGCCTTGACTCCCATCCACTATGTGAGGAAGACAAAACGACGGCAAAGATCCAAACACTGTCCCTGTTTGCACTGACAATAGAGAAAGACGGGCATTGCTCCAATTGAATTCATCCATGCGCACTCAATGGAAAGAGAAAAGTCGGATGACAACTAACGATTGTCAATCGATGCTTGCACAGTGGACGCTTCAGTCGCATGTGAGCAGTCCCTCATTGCAGAGAATGACAATAATCAACAAGGCATGGGCTAGGCTGCAGGCCCACAGGGACTGATGTCTGGGAGCATTCCGCCCGTCGGTTTCTTCCGTGGGCAATTTCCGCAGTCGCCGCAATCGGCGCAATGGGCAGGAAGTCAGTAATAATCATCTTATTGGTGGATAGCAGCGTTTGGCCTTTCTGTGCCATTTTAAAAGTTGGACCGACAATTAACGAAGCCCAAGCGGAAGCAAACCAGGAGCTATTGACGCCTCCCCCACTTTTATAAAGTCACACAGCAACTTTTCGGCTTCCTGCAAAGATTGCTTGCTTGCTACAAGTACTAGTCAGCTAGCTAGGATACTTGACGCGGCATCCAGGCACCACGAATGGAGAAACCCAGGGCAGTCAACTGTTTGGCTGGGTTACTGTCAAGTCTGATGCTCCCCTTTCAAGCTCGTTGGTTACATATGATAGACAGTTTGGAAACCTGGGGTGTAAATAAACTGTCAAGTTCTATCGATTGACCCGCACCCAGCTATCCAGTACAGCACCGTAAACAATTTCCAACTTCAATCAACCCCTATCGCAACCTCCACAACCTCTAAAATGTGGCAATAAGCAAGAAGTAAAACAGAAGCAACAGAATGGAGAGTGCACATTGGAGTAGTGGCCAAAGAACGGGAGTGACAAGCCTGTTTCTCATATCAAATCTTCTACAATTATTGTCCACTCCCCTGCCAGTCTGCTTTACCCTTCCCAAAGAACTGGTGTCACTTACTTATTGAGATTCAAGTACTCATCAGCCAAGACCAAGAAAGCTGCTGTGACAGGAGGGGCAATAACTTGGAGGTCAAAAGCGGGGCTGAAGGAGTGATCAAGGATGACGCACCTCTCCCTTGTTCATTTTTGCCGTTAATCTTGTGCCTGTCGTTGAAGGTAAAGAGTGACGAACGACCTTGCTTGCTTCTAACAACATACATGAACACAGAACTGGACCTCTGTGGAAACATCATTCGTGGCAAAATACTTAGGAGACGATACTCCGAGGAATAGGAGACGATCGAAATGATTTAAGAGACGAAAGCAATCGTCTCCTATATTTAGGAGACGATTCAGTAGGAGACATTCCAATTAGGAGACGAAAGTTTCGAAATAGGAGACGATCTGAAAGATTTAGGAGACGATACCATACAATTTACATGGTACACTTAGGAGACGACCCGAAAGATTTAGGAGACGATCCGTTGAAAATAGGAGACGTTTTAAGAGGAGACAAAAGATTTAGGAGACGATCCGTTTCGTCTCCTATTTTTAGGAGACGAAATCCATTAAATAGGAGACTATCAAAAGGATTTAGGAGACGAAAAGTAGCACGACTCGAGTTTCCACAGAGGTCCAGTTGTTGGACCTGCTGTAAAAGACTTAGTGTAAAAGTACGACTTTACGCCAAAAGAGAATGTAGTTGCAGGTTGCAGGATTCTGCAGCCGGCGGCATGGACATCTCGGTAATTACTGCAGTAATTCCTGGTTACTGGTTACTTACTGTACTTTTACTGCCTTTATTGGCCAGTAGTTACTGCAGTCAGTAATTCCTGGCAGTAATAAATCTGCCAATTCAACAGTAATTGACAGTAAATGACAGTAAAAGCACAGTAATCACCCTATTTTACTGCAATTACTGTTATTTACTGCCTTCAAATGGCTTTAAATTACTGTACCTGATTACTGCTACTGAGGAATTACTGCATTACTGCCATTACTGCTACTGTTTGGCCCCTCCAGTCAGTAATCAGTAAACAGTAAATACCAACCAAGATGGACATAGACGGCAGAGCCCTGGGATCAATGATGAACCTGTCTCAACGTGGGTGGTCCAAAAGTCGATTTGATTACACCGGGTCAAGATCACCTGAGTCCAGTCTACGATCCCATTTACAGTATCATGATGTATGAAGTGGATTTTCTACCTACCGGTATTAGTAACAGCAACCTAGCTAGACTACATGTATCCAATTTAGTAACCATGCATGGTTTGATCCTCTAGTAGAGCTCCTTTATTAGTGAGTAGACTACCTCTAGCAAAAGGGACGGGTAACACTGAATGTGCCACCTAGCTAGCTAGACTAGTCATACCGTACTTATGCATGAAATCACAATTTAAAATAATCAATTTTCATATCCGTGATGGACGCAACTCACCTTTTATGATCTCTTACAGCTCTGCTGGTATGGTTTTGGGCCATCAGCTCAGATGTGTCTGCAACCAGCAACATGGTGAACCATTGGGTGCCAGATAACTGCCCAATGGACCACGTCAGTGCCAAGGTTTACTATAGCTCGCCTACAAAGATATGGAGGAGAAACCCAGTTGCTGACATCAGATCCATGTTGTTAAACCTTATTTTTCCTTTGATCCATAGAAGTCATTGCTGGCTCTCAGATTCTTCATTGGTGTTCGTTCTGGGGTATGAATGACTGGTACTCTTATATCTTTCTAACTCGCATCTACCTAATTGCCCCTTCTCGCCTGAGATGACTGTAGGTTGGTCATTGAAATAATCTCCCCAATCATTGTTCAACGAACGCTACCCACGTTCTTATCGATAGTTTTGGAATGCCAAAAATCGAGGATGGCTCCGCCGCAAACAACAAGAAAGTTCATCACTCCTATCATCAGTCCTATCCATCCACTCCCAACGACCATGGCCCCATTATCGATGAGAGAAAGAAGACGCGTATCCGACGGCTCCTCCACGAGTGATACTGCAATGCCTCCCTTGACCGCATCGACGACCGCGACAACCAGCTTGAAGGCGGGCATGATGGTGGGGTATAATACGTTTGATGGCGGCGCTGCTGCTAACGATGGTGATAATGCCAGCAGTTGCAACTTGAACAACAGCCACACGAGCAACTTGGACCTGAGCTCCGCGAGTGGTCTTGGTCTTGACTATAATCAGGACGACACTTCTGCTATGAACGGAACGGATCCTCTCGGTCACGCCAGCTCTATCGCACTGGATGGTCGCGGGCTTGTGCCTCCTCCTCCCGCTGCAGATGACGATGGGCACATTGACGAGACGGAGCATACCACGTTCACGTTGGACGAAGACTTTGAAGACTTGCCTCTTTGGAAACGCGTTCCTCCCGCACTGGGCATGGCCATTGGCTTGTTCACTGTGAGTCTCTTGACGTGCCTTGGAACGGTCTACCAATACAAGGTAGCCACCAATCACAGTCGCATCTATGCCTTTATCTTTACGTCCGTCAAGGGCGCCATTATTGGGTTTAGTGCCTTTGTCATTAGCAAGACGTTTTGGTATACCCAACAAGATCTCGAACGATCTCTCGAACAACAAGACCGCATGCTCGCGCTACTCAGCAATGTCTACCCGGAACATGTCCTTCAAAGACTCCTAGAGGAAGATGAAGAAAACCAAACCGAAACAAACACCCTCCTGACACCTCCACCTCCTATCCCTGACGCTACCTTCTTGAACAGACTACAAAAGCAACACAGTGCTGCCAATCTCGACGATCTACATGAAGGAGACGAGGGCAACCATGACGATGTTAATAATGAAGACGGAAAGAAGGTAGCCGCAAGGGTCACGGTGCGGCAAGATTCCATCTCCACCATGGCATCTCTGGGTGGCATTAGCAATCAAAACTTGACGCTCTCCCCCAAACGCAAGCCGCGCACACGCAGAGTCCCGGCTTCTGCGGCTGCCATGATGATGGATCAGTCCGCCCGATCCGCCAACAACCCCCTCGATGCATCCATCGTGTCCCTTTCCCACAACAACAACAATGGTGTAGACGGCAGTGCACAGGCGCATCCACTCTACAGCAACAACAACAACCACCACGCTCACGTCACCAAGTCCGTTACGGACCTCTATCCCAACACGACCGTCTTTTACTCGCAAATTGTTGGCTTTACCGCATGGTCCAGTCAACGAGCGCCCAATCAAGTCTTTGAATTGCTCGAAACCATATTTTGCGAATTCGATACCGTCGCTACACGAGGGAACATTTTCAAGGTGGAATCCATTGCCGATACGTACATTGCCGTAACCGGATTGCCCGAAGCCGATGCCGAACATGCCGTCCGAATGGCACAATTTGCCAGTGATTGTCTGGCGTCCTTTCAAGCAACGACCGAAAAGTTGGAACGAAGTTTGGGACCCGATACCGGAGATTTGCAACTGCGGATTGGACTTCATAGGTACGTTATTACGTTTTGGACTGATGAATGAATTGATTGTTGTAATGTCAGCCAGCCAACCTCATCATTATGACTCGATTCTTCTGGCTGATGATGAAACAGTGGTCCAGTCACAGCAGGTGTTCTGAGAGGAGAACGTTCGCGATTCCAGCTATTTGGAAACACCGTCAATAATGGTACGGCGCACAAGAACAGAACACGCTGGCATCTACTACAGGTTGGCGCAAAACTTGACTCACTCGGATCCATCCTCTTCTTGCTTATCTTCTTATAAATAATCTTAGCCATGATCACGGAACGTCAAGGCGAAGGAAACCACATTCATGTATCACGAGAAACTGCCGAGCTCATACAAAACTCTGGAAAGGCGCACTGGGTCGTTCCAAGAGAAAGGTCAGAAGCTGGCATGACCTACTGGCTCGCGGCTGCCAAGGGCAAACAGCGTCGGCCATCGTGCTCTCACGGCGGCACACCTCCAATGTCGCCTACTTCGGCCTCCGAATCTTCCGACTCTGACAACAACAACAATAGTAACGACGACAACGACGACGACGATGATGACAGCAGCGCAGAATACAGTGAAGAATTGGGCCCCATCGAATCCGACGACGACATGTCGGTACTCTCTTCCGATACCGGAATCACCTATACTTCTTCCATGTCCTCGTGTTCTTCTGGATCACGCAAAAAGGCATGGACGATGCAAGATATCTTGACTGCCAAAGAACAACGTCTTATTGAATGGACCGTCGATCAGCTTTCATCTATGCTCAAAAAGATTGTCGCCAGAAGAAACGCCGTCCAGCGATACGAAGAGCGACATGGATTGTCCAACAACAAATCCAACAGTGCCACACCTCCAATCCTCCATTACACTCCCAAAGGTGGCATGGTCCTTGACGAAGTCCAGGAATCCATCGATCTTCCAAAGTACAGCGATGCTCTCTTGCGCGAAGACGCCCTCCACGATGCCTCCAACGTGGTCCTCGGCGATCGCGTCGTGGAAGAATTGACCAACTTTGTGAGCACCGTCACCACATTCTATTACGATCCAGGCCGGAACCCGTTCCACAACTTTATGCATGCCAGTCACGTCCTCATGTCCACGGTGAAAATGATGCAGCGTATCATTTCGCCGTCGCAAGCAGCGCTGGGGAAGATCAAACTGAAAAAAGCAGGAGAAGAGGATTCTCCTGATCGAAGACGAAGCATCCGTAGATCCATGTCGTTAGAGGAACTCCACGTAAGTTCGGCGTAGATGGGAGAGGGAATGTGTTTCTTGCTATTGCTGTAGAGGCCCCTCACAGACAGCTTGGAAATTTGCTTGGCTCTTGTTTTGCAAAATAGGATCATACGTACGGAATTACAACGGATCCTCTGACGCAATTTGCTGTCGTCTTTGCGGCACTGATCCATGATCTTGGTACGTGGGCGGTACTTTTAGAAGTTGGGCAGCAACCTCATGGAAACCGTCTTCTCATGCTCTCCTGAACTCTCTCTTTGTGTCACTGCAGACCACCCAGGAGTGCCAAATGCAACCCTAGTCAAGGAAAAGACTCGGTTAGCCCGCGTCTACAACAACCGTAGTATTTCAGAACAGGTGGGTCTTCTGAATGCGCAACAGAACACGAATCGAAGCAATCTGCCTTGGCACTCACAAGTTATTCTCAATCTGTCGCGACATTAAAGAACTCTCTGGATATGGCGTGGGATCTGCTTATGGACCCTAGCTATCAAAACTTGGTGAGAACCATTTGCTTTTCTCAAGACGAACTCAAGCGATTTCGCCAGTTGCTCGTGCAAACCGTCATGGCTACCGACATTGCCGATGCTGAACTGCGACAGGATCGCAACGAACGATGGGACATGGCTTTTGCCAAGAAGGAAATTACAAAGAGTGAAGGCAGGTCGCTTGGAAAGAGGACGCCGTCCGGTCGGTCATTGGGAGACGATTCAGATCAAGAGAATGCCAATCTAGGCGAAAGGAACCGCAAGGCAACCATTGTTCTGGAGCACCTTTTGCAAGCATCTGACATTGCTCACACAATGCAACACTGGGAGGTTTTCAAAAAGTGGAACGAGAAGCTTTTCAGAGAGATGTATCTTGCTTACCTCCATGATCGATCTGATAAGGATCCCGGTGAATTCTGGTACAAGGGGGAGATTGGCTTTTTCAAGTTCTACATTATACCCCTGGCTAAGAAGCTCAGCGATTGTGGTGTGTTTGGGGTGTCCAGTGACGAGTATCTCAACTACGCGCAAAACAATCTACAAATCTGGGAAACCAAGGGGGAGGAAGTTGTCGCAGAGTTTCGGGAAGCTGTAGAACGAGACTATGGAACGAAGGAAGAAAGAATGGGAAAGAAAGCATAGCATGGCCAACTCCGTCCTTCTGCTTGCTTGCTCTTGACGCGCGCAAGTATGTTGAACGCGACGATTGTGTTCAATGTGGACCTGTACAGACCTTTTCACCATCATTTTAACTTACTTGAGCATAATAGACAACGCAATTTACGTTTTTCGAAGGGGGGCATTGTTTCCCTAGTGAGTGTGGATGAGGCTCCGCACACGGATCTTCTCACACGGTGGATCACGAGGAACGATTTGAAACGTTTTACCGATTGGATCATTCAAGTTGGCGGGATTGTTGGCTTCAGCCTCCAAAGTCACACAGTATTGCGATTTGTTGGGAAGTAAGCAAAGTACAACGGTGTGGTGGCACAGCTACATGAATTTGATTGTAAAAACGCGAAACCACGCCACACATGGCATCGGAGGTTGGAACGATCTTCTCGTCGCGATGTCTCTCTTTTGTACTGAATCTCGACTCGAGCACCTAACAAGCTAGCTAGCTAGCTAGTTGAGCGTAGTACTCGCCACGCCATACCGGTACGAAGCGGCTGAGGCAGCTTCGCAGTCTCGCAAAATGATTGTGCATGTGGTGCAATACTCGGACTGCTTAACGATTTCAAGTCGAGTGCCATGACACCAGCCACCTGGTCATCCGTTCCCTCCATGAAACAATACGTTACTCTGCGCCCGTTGATTTAAATGGCGAAGTTGTGCCTCTCATGCACTTTGACGAGGCCTTTGCTACCATCCTATTGCCGTTCCGGGGATTGACCTGGTCGAACCAAGAGGTGCGGCAGCATGCACACCAGCTCTCCCCTATTAAATTACAACCACAGCTCGTCCGCCCGGAAGCAATGGAAACACATCAAGCCCCCGTATTAGTGCTCCGAGACCTATGGCTGTCAATTGAGACGATTTCTAATTGAAGATCAATAACAGAGGGTTTAGACTCTGGACTGGTGCTTGGGTGGTTCTCCTGGGCCTGTCTGGGCTGCATCCATGCGAGCACTGAGGCTCCCGAGTCACTGGATTGAGTGGGACTCAAAGCCGTTAACCGCGTGTACGCCAATAGCCGTGACTGCTGCCGGCGACAGCTACCGCGGTACTGGTATTGGACTGAGGACTCGATCGGAAGCAGAAAGCAGAGAAACTCACGACCACCCTCTGTCGCCACTTCATCGTCAAGAGCAGTAAAATGAATCACCTTGGCCATGAAAAGGGCGAGGATGTCGAGGAAGGGTTCAATATTCTTGATGTTGTAGCTGCCAGATGCCGGGGCGAAAGTGATGCCAAGCTACTCGGAGTTGAGTCGAGTGAAGATGTTGTAGAAGAATGGCAAAAGCAAGACAAGGAACAACCACTCGCACAGGAAGGACAGACCAAACCACACAAAAATGAAAGGACTGATGGACTAGAAGAGAACGCCGCAGCCGCGAAGGAAGTCATAGAACAGCGACAGAATCGAATCGAAAGTACTGAAGGAAAAGAAGAGAACGACATGGCCGTGAAGGAAGCCATAGAACAGCAAGAGAATTTTCTACTAGGCATCAGCGGACCACAGCAGCCGCCATTGGCATCGACGAACGATCCAGAGGATCAGCAGCCGGGGGCCTATTCGGTGTCACGATGTAGTGACGGATCGAGTCCTTATGGCAGCCATAATATCGAAGCCCGCGGTGGCCCTGCAATACTTTCTGGTAATTCCGGGGATTTTTGTGAAGAAGAAATCGAAGCCGAAGAAACACCCGCAACACTTTGTGGTAATTCCGGCGATGCTGACCACGGGATTTCTAGCGTTGCAGAAGTTGGTTTCGGTTTGGCGGTAGCCAACCAAGTAGAAGAACATGAAGAACCCACGCAGGTTGCTATACCTGATGAACTTTCCAAAGACAAGAGATCTCCTTCTCCATCTTTACTGATTCTTACTCTCCTGGGTGGCATTCTCATTGTTGGCATAGCGGTTGGTTCCATCTGTGGAGCTGGTCTCTGTAGCAACAAAGATGGTGATGTGGAGACTCAAGCTCCCACTTCCTTTCGATATTTTGTTTTGGAGGATGTTCGAAACAGAATTGAAGAGGATTTTGGAGCTGATTATTTTCAAAGAAATAATGGTACTAGTAGAGAGGAGCTGGAGTGGATACACCCAAGGAACAAAGCACTGGAATGGATTGTATTTGAGGATCCTCTGCAGCTTGACCCAGATGCCAGCAATCTTCTACAGAGGTTCATCTTGGCATTGACTTATTTTCAGACAGCCCAAGAGAGCGATTGGCTAATTTGTGGGCAATCGACAACGGCAGAGGATGTGCTGTGCTGGAAGGAAATCCAGGGCGAGTCAAGATGGCTCACAGGGTTTCATGAATGCCAATGGGCTTTTGTTTTCTGCGACGGAGAGAAGAACATAACTCAGTTGGAACTTGGTAAGTTCTGAATTATCGATCTGCTATCCCTGTCGCTTGACATCGCCTCTTTGGTTCGAGCTTACCTTGTTGTTGTTTCCTCAGAGGAAAATGGATTGAATGGCTTGTTGCCCACAGAACTGGCCAGACTTTCAGCACTGGAACGCTTGGACTTTCATGGGAACCAACTGACAGGAACTGTTCCAAGTGTATATGGCAGCTTTCCTTACCTTTCGAAACTTTATCTGGATCACAATGATCTATCCGGAACAATTCCATCTGAATTGTTCGGATCCCCACTTTCCCAAATACTTTTGACAAACAACACGTTGACAGGGACAGTGCCCACAGAAATTGGACTCTTTGAAGGATCACGTTTGCTTTTGGGCTCAAACAGCTTGTCAGGCTCTATCCCTGTAGAGATCTTTCGGCCTGGGACCGGAGTTTTTCTCAGTCTTGATTTTGCTGACAACAAGGTATGGCAGCCTTTCCTTGGGAACAGCATCAGCTATCTTCAACTATTGGTCAAGAGCCTAAATCCTGATTGAGAGCTCACCCTTTGCCTGCTTTGTAGCTCACAGGAACTCTGCCCACTGAAATTGCAGCATTGCATGGACTTCATCAAGTCTTCCTCCATTTGCAAGGTAACCCTTTGAGCGGAACCATTCCATCGGAAATAGGACTTCTGGAAGGCTCCCTCAGAGAGCTCGATATCAGTCGGACCAACATGGATGGCACCCTACCAGAGGAACTCTTCGCCAGTTGTACCAACTTAGTTGCACTTCTTGCCTCCAACAGTGGCTTGACTGGGACAATCAGCAGTGGACTGCAGCTTCTGACACAACTAGCTTCGTTTGATATATCAAACAACAAGTTTCATGGCACCATCCCTGAGCAGCTCTCTTCACTGAAAGGACTGCAGCATTTCCTTGTGGATAGGAATGACCTTTCTGGTTCCATTCCGTCATCTATCTGCTTTCTGGCGGATCCTTTAAAGGAGGAATTTGAAGTGGCAGCTGACTGTTTGCCATGGAAAGGAACAGGCAATCCCATGGTAGAGTGCTCTTGTTGTACTCTGTGTTGTGATGGTGGTGATGTTGACTACTGCCTGTCCCAGCATACATAGTGCGCTGAGTTATCATTCATCATCCATGGATTACATCTTGAATCGAAAAGTTATGTGGCTCTACGCCGGCTTTGTCCACAGGAAATTGCAAGAGGGGGTCCAAAATAGCGCTTGTTAGGATCACACAAGTTGTCGAGATTATATTATGCTATTACGCAACCGTTCCCCGATGTTACGTGCTTACGCTACACATGGGCTCGCCCTAATACATGTACGGCTGGAAAATTGTCGATTGTGACCTGGCTAGAGCTACCGCTATCGTTCTTGGTGGCATTAGCCCGTCATAAGGGATCTATAGCTTGGGCAATAAGTGAGGCTTGGCTTTGGCAAAGTACTGCAGTGCTGCTCGTGCCACCTCGGCCCCGGCCTGTTCTTGGACAAAGTGTCCCACTTGCGGCAGGCTTAGTGGCGGACCACATCCACGCACGCACGACGCCAATCGGTTCATGAGGGCGGGTGGAATGACTCGGTCCCTGGCTCCCACGGCCAAAAAGGTGGGACCCGCCCATTGATGTTGCCAAAACTGCAAGGCGGCTCGACCCATGGCATACCCATCTTGTGTGGGTGAGAATGGCACGAGCTTGGTGAAAACATTGACTCCCGCCTTGTAGGCGGCTGAAGGATAGGGAGCATTGTAGGCCGCCACCGTCTCGGGCGACAATTGTTTGCGACAAGTGAGATGAATCAAATCTCCCACGTTCCAATCGTCACTGGATTGCGAAAAGGCATGCCAGGCTCCAAATCCAGTCGTTCTTTGATCCTGTTGTAACAACAAATCCCTGGCCATCATGGTCGATTCGGGTTCGATGGGGAGCATAGCGTTCATGAGGACGAGTCGAGAATATCGCTGTGGCGCTTCCAAGGGCAATGTCAACCCCAAAATTCCACCCCAATCTTGTACTACCAACGTGACATTGGTGAGATTGAGGTGTTGTTCAATGATGCTCAGCAGCATGGCGCGATGCAAGGAATACGAATAATCTTCTTGGCGGATGGGTTTGTCAGACCGTCCAAAGCCCATCATATCCACACAAAGAACTCGTCCAGCTGTTTGGAAGACTGGAATCATGTGGCGATACAGATACGACCAGGTAGGTTCGCCATGGAGACACAAAAAGACGGGACCATTCTCATCCTCTGTCAAGGCAGGAATATCGTAGTAGCACAGTCGAAGTCCAGTGCCCAGCACATCATCGACATACTGGGGTGGATAAGGGAAATCCGTAATGCCATCAAAGCAGCTCTCTGGAGTCCGAAGGGCTTCGATCTTCATGGTGATGTCCAATATGGTTGTGCTGCGAGATTGTTGTACCGCGATGGGTGGAAAATCAATCTGAAGGATCTTGCGATCTTGCACAAAGAGTCAAAGCATTAAGCCACACTTCAGAAGTACAAAGAATTAAGGTACGTGTAGATGAGTTGTAATCAAAGGCTCATCTAGAAGTCGTCAGAGACTTAACGACAGACTTAGCAAGGGGAGCGCGGGCGCAACACTATTCATCCGCGGTAAAAAGCCTCTAACGATACTAGCGTCATTGGATGTGGCTTTGGCTGGACTCGTGCACTTGCTAGAGTTCCACCCTCCGTCACCCATGTTTCTTCGGTTGGTTGCTACATGTTGGTTCCTTGGTTGGTTCCTTTTCAGGAGTCGAGTCAGTTCATCACAAAATAAACGAATGATTCAATCACTGTGCATACTGACTAATGCAGCGACTAGTACTAACTTTTAAAAACACAAAGTCTACCGCCCACTGCCATTCATACAAGAACACCCACATCCACATAGAACCCCAGTGCATTCAAATGACAAACCGAATGGTCCCATGCACGGCATGACAAAGCTTCCATAGCACGTGCCATTGAGGGTGCATAAATCAGGAGGAATCGTCCCAGACAAGGTTGGATTCCCTTCAAGCTCCAAATGAAACAGGGATTGCTTGAGGGACAACAGTTCTTTTGGAAGAGGGCCAGACAAGGAGTTGTTTGCCAAGGTCATCCTACCCATAGAAGTCAGCTTTCCAAACTCAGAAGGGACATGGCCAGAGAACTGGTTGTTAGAGAGCTCCAGGCGCTGCAGACCAGTCAAGAGTCCGAGTTCTGTTGGGATGGGTTGTGAAAACTGGTTGTTTCGAAGGCTGAGATTAAGTGACAGCTTTGTGAGCTTGCCAAGCTCACTTGGAAGCTGACCTGTCAGCCTGTTCTCACGAATGCTCAAAATAAAAAGAGATGTAGCCATGCCCAATTCACTTGGTACACTTCCTTCCAGAGAGTTGCCCCAAGCAGTCAACGAGACTAGTCCAGGCAGTTTTCCCAGCTCGCTTGGCAACTGTCCAGTGAATCTGTTAGCATTCAGCACACACCATCCTAGAGACTCAGCTTGCCCTAGCTCAGTTGGAATTGTACCTATTGTGGATCACAAACATGGTTGTGAGCATTTTAGTCAGCATGGTTGGACCAATCTTCAAAGCACAAAACCAGGAGGACTCACCTGAAAAGTCACTCCGCTCCAGTTGTAGCATTCTCAACTTGGACAAGGCGCCAATATCAGTAGGCAGTGTGCCCTTCAATTCAGAGTTTGAACTCAAGATGAGGTCAACCAAATTGGTGAGCTGCCATATTTGTGTTGGGAGATCTCCTTGAAGTTGATTTGCATGCAGAGAAAAGAAGCGTAGGTTTGAGAGCATGCCAACTTCTGTAGGCAAGGTGCCAGTCAAAAGCAGCTGACTGAGAGTGAGACCTTCCAAAGCTCTCAGTTGCCCAATATGGCTAGAAATTGTTCCTCCGAGTTGGTTCCATCCCATCGAAAGAGTTTCTAGTTTTGTCAACAAGTACAGTTCCTCTGGGATGGAGCCTTCAAGATTATTCTGGTCCAGCCAAAGGTGTTGGAGTAGCCCATCATTATCACAAGGTGAGGTAGGTGGAGGCTCCAAGAACCCTGCCAGGTATCCAGGAAGAAGCTGAGATATTGCTGACTTCCTGGCAAATTCAGGATTGAAGAACCAGTTGCATTCAGATACACTGTGGTTGAGCCAGTTAGTGTTGTTCCTCCAATTATCTCCACCAGTGGCAAAGTACAGAGATGCCAGGGCAAACTTCTGCTTTATCTGATCATCAGAATAAAGTGGCAGATTGTCCAAGTCCTCTAGGATCCATTCGTATGATCTTGATTGAGGTGATTGAGGATCTTCCAATGCTTGCTGGGTGCCATCGTCAAACAATGAAAGGAGGTATCCTTTGGCGGAGGTTGGAGCTGGCGTGCTGGGACTGGGAGCTGGCGAAGCTGTAGTGGCGGTCCTCTTTGGGACCAAAGCAGCTACCGATAGCAAGATTAGAAGGACGACAATTAGCAGAATGGTTCCCGACAGCAACGCTCTCAGGAATTGCTTTGTCTTTTGCTTGCTCCTGTTTGAAGCTACTGGTACTGCATCAAAGTCTCGGGCTTGGGGCAGACTCAGGTGTCTAACTGCATCATCGTCAACTGGGTTGGCAACAGCGAGGCCATCCTCAACAATGGTCGAAGTATTAGATGATGTAAGGCTGTCAACGCCAATGGGGGTCATTGTTTCGCTCTGCTCCGTAGCACTTGGTTCCACGGCATAAGCACCTGGTCGAGCCATCGCCTGGCTTTGACGGCGCGTAGTTGAACCGCGTTGCCTGGTCTCGAACTTGCACAGTTCCTGTTGCGCATCCTTCGAGGTGGACCCGCAGCCTTCGTTGGTTTTCCTTTCATCTTGTTCAAAACCTTCTTTGTTTGGTCTATCGGTGATACTCCGGTTAACTAAGGGGATGGGTCCAGGTCCTGATATCACCTCTGGTTCGGTCGCTTGGTCTACTACCAGCTGTGCCACTGACCGTTGCTCCTTTTTCATGTCAGCGGATTGAGCCTCGAGGTCGCCACGGCTTCTGGCAGCCACAATATCCATCACATCGAAAGGCTCCTCCTCTCCGCTGCCGCCATCATGGCCCGCCGTTTGGTGCTGCATTTCGTGGGTGCTCATTCTTGTACCGGTATGCTACTAGCTCGCTAGCTAGCTAGAGAGCTCTGTGCTGCGCTTGTTTTGTTGGTTTTTCCGTTGTTGTTGCACTCCAGAATTTTTAATAGAATGAGAAGACCAGCGAAAGTCAGTGAGAAACGTGAGCAAGAAGGAAAAGAAACAAGAATCGATCGAATCATGACGATGTTCCTGCGTAAGTTACGGAGGCGTGGTCACTCCAGAGTGCGGTTATTTACTTCAACTACGGTAAACTGATCGATAATTAATCTCCAAAAGGAGGGCCATTCGTTCCGATCGGAGCACCATGTACCGGTATGTTGTACCTGGTAGACTTCAGCCAGACTACTCGAGGCATGCAATACTATGATGCTCTATGTTCCTACTATCAGTCCTCTTGTGCGTGCCAATCGAAAATCGAAGCATACGGGGTAGAGTACGCAGCTCAACTGATGTTCTCCAAACATGCATTATTTGGCATTATACTAAATTTGCGAGGAGGCTTCAGGATGCTCAAGGTTCAAGATCTTGCCTTCTTGCCTTTTGGTCTGATCTTGTGGCATATTGGATCTTGGTTCTTGGTTGGCCACTCCTCACTCTTTGGAGGAATTCCCGGACTCTTCAATGGATTCAATCATTCCTTGAAAATAGATTGAGACTGGCTCAAAAGGAGCATTATAAGCAAAGAGGACCGTCACACTGGAACTCCACAGCCATGTACTTCTTGTCATGAACCTGACTACAAAGAATTCCCCAATTCCTTGATTGCATAGCTATTGCATTCATTCCTCTCCTTTTCTGGAAAAGAAGTTGAAGGGAGGAGTGGTCAACTGAGGTTCTGATTGTGGACCGAGGATGCTGCTGGTACAGTACTTGGGTTACTATGATACGGTGTTCTCCGAACATGCATTCTTCCGCGTTACGACGATGCTCGAGGTTCAAGATCTTGCCTCCAGCCTCCAGTTCCACAAATAATCAGCAGCCACCCACTTCAAATTGGTCCTTGCTGGGGTCAACCAGGGAACATAGATGATGGAATGGATCCAGAGAGGCCATTCCCATCACATGAAAAGCTTGCAGAAAACTAAATAGAGGGTTTAAGGAGTGCGGGGGACTAATCTAGGCAGAGGAGGGCAGCTGCGGTGGGGAAGCACAGGGAGAGGGCGGGCAGTGTATAGGCAGGAGGGAAGCAGGGGGGTGGGGCAAAGGGGGCAGAGAGGGGCGAAAGGAAGAATCATGGGGGAAGCAAAAACTGTCACGTGGCTGATGGAAGAGGGCAAGTGCACCATCGGCATCCCAGAGGGAACCGCGGTAGCTCTTTGTGCCATCAGGGACGGGCGCGAAAATGCTCAAGTTTAGGAATGGAATAAAGCAGCGCTGGGTGGTGCAATGGAACTTCCTCCTCCTCTGGGTGAACCATGCACTGGCACTCTTGACCAAACTCATTGTCATCCTTGAAGACTGTCACTTGATCCCTGCCAATGTTGGCACTATCTGGGAGCCAGCCCATCAAGCCATTACTAGGTGGCACTGTATTGTCAATTTTGACACTGATCATGTCCTTGAAAGAAGACACAATGATTGTCTCTTTCTCCAAAATCTGGATAGTGCCGGTCTGCTTCACTCAAAGAATCGAATCGAATTGGATCTTCAATCGAATCCAAGACGGTGCGCACATGCACGTTGTGGTGCCCCTGGGCCTCCTCATTAAGCCTTGCGGTACCGCGAGCGATGTCTATTGAAAATCTTTGAAATCTTTGAAGTCTGCTTTAATGACCTGCACTCGTATGATATCAATACTCCCTCTCGTGATATTCTGTTCCAGCTGTGAGGAGCCATAGTAGAATCACAATGACCAACAAACAACAGCAGCCTAAGACAGCTTCAACGCCTCCTTCTTGTAACAGCAAAGGATCTGATTCGGGAAATCTGGGCACGCCCAAGAACAGCCGTCACGATCGACGTTCGAAATCTCCCAATACTAAGTCGAGAAACGAAAGGAGAAGTCGTTCTCCTCAAGGCAACAACCACAACAACAGTGGCAGTCGTCGCAGAAGTCGTCCTGATGCCGTTGTGTTTCCTCCGGATCCCGATGAGACTGGAGCTCAAGTAGTCCAGCGGATCTTTGCAGCATTTGGTCTTCAAACGGAGTTCCCAGAGGACTGCCAAGACTATGTCCAAAAGTTGATGGAACGGCAGCAGCAGCATCCATCCAAACCAGATGATGATGATGATGATAGCGTTGTCACCTATGCCGATTACACACATCTTCCATTCATCACTATCGACGGAGAGGAAACGCGAGATTTGGATCAAGCACTCTACATTACACGGCAAAACTTGCCCGGAACAACACCAGCGGCATCCTCCACAGATACTCCCAATTACTACTTTGTCTCATATGCGTTGGCGGATGCCGCCCACTATGTACCGGCTCATTCCCCCGTCTTTCAATACGCTCTCCGCAAGGGTGGAACGTCGTTGTATCTTCCAGGGCACTGCCTGCCCATGCTGCCACCACAACTCTGTCAAGAATTCTTGTCCTTGACGCCACGACAGAAACGACGGGCATTGGTCTTGGACATGTATCTGTCGCCCATCACATGTCAACCCGTCAAGACATTTTACAAATGGGCTTGGATCGTGTCGAGACGAAAGGGAACATTTCGAGAAGTGTCCGAATATTACCAAGCAGTCGATGCCGGAAAATCACATTCCTTTCAATCCAAACAGTACTGCGAGACATTGGATTTGCTCCGAGAGGTGGGCATGCTGCGTCTTCATCAACAAGGAGGAAGTGACCATGCCAAACAGCATCAATCCACCAAAAAAGGAGGAGTGGTATTGGATGATAATGGCAAACTGGCATTTGACACACGCTGTCATCCTCACTATGACAGTCAAGATTACAATGAACAAATCAGCCTGCTAGCCAATAGCGAAGGAGCTCGTCTCTTACACTTTATGGAAGGTCTGGAACACAAGGTCGGTGAGCACGACGTGATTCATCCAATCTACAGGACCATGGCAGAGCCGCGACCACAACAACTTGCCACATTGGAACAAGTCATACTCAATACACTGACGGCACATGACATTGACGTTCCAACTTGGGGATGGAGGAGACACGCACGCGATGAAGACGACAATAATATGGAATCCATTGCTGACTATCTCGAAAGAATTCGAAACCGACGAGACTCGTTGCTGCCGGATTCTCCCGAAGCCAAAGTATGGAGTGCCGTGGTGCAAGTGGTGGAGCGACAAGCACGCATGAGCCATGCGGTTGCCAATTTCCAAGGAGATCCTGCCCGGGGGCATTTCCAACTCCAGCTCGAGTACTATGCCCGTCTCTCGTCGCCCATGCGCGAACTCGTGGGGTGCTTTACCCACAAGGAATTGCGAGAAGCTCATACGGGGACCTTTGTGTCCGCGAGTGTCTCACGGTCGCAACGGACTCCCACGAGTCCCTTGGCGGATATCGAGTTGCGAGATGCCGTCATTCGGGCGGCCAAACGAGCCAAGGCGCTGCAAAAGAAACTCAGCGGGGCCGTCTTTTTGCATGTCATGAACCAACTCTTTTATCAAGACTTGAGGATTCGCAATGTGGGCAAACGACCACTGCGCAGGGGAGTCTTGATTGGTTTGAACTTTACGGACAATAGCAAAAGTCGGCGATGTTATGTTCAACTGGAAAAACATAATAACATGGAGATCAAAGTCTTTGCGCAAGATTTGGAATACTTTTACAACTGCCGTTATCTCCCTTTGCAGTCGGACACTGCAGTTTGGTCCATTGGACCCTTGGCAGGATCGTTTCGGGAAGATGTGGATGATCAAGAACGACCACCCATTTTCAAAATTGGGCAACGAGTGACCATTCGAGTGGCCGATTACGCTCAGTTTTACGGACAAACCAGTCGAAGTAGGTGGTGTTTCATCATGGACTTGGAACAGACGTTGGAAGAGCCAGATCCTCTCCGATTGAATGGCATTTGCCGCTCCAAGTCATCCGCCTTGCGAAATTCCATTGTGGACATTGATTTGTATTCACAACGAGACTCCACAAGCGTTGCCTCGTCTGCCTATCCCGACGATATGGACGAGTGCGGCTTTTTGCTGCAGGAGGATTGAAGGGGGGGGGGACAAAGTTTGCGGTACCGATGGATGGGACGACAACCCACAGGGATGAACAGATTGAGTTGCAGTGCCGGTACCTATTGCAATCAAGCTATTCTGGACTTGTCCTCGCGTGTGCACTGGGTTGGCAGCCATTGACAGGCTTGGTGCTGACGGAGAAGGATGCTGCGAGAAGTCAGCCCGGAAGTATGAATGCTTGTCTCGAGATCTGTTCGACGCATAGTAGCATTGTTGGCTCGTTCGCAAATGAAACTAGCAGATGTCGGGAAAACAACCGAACTCAAGGTCATTGTGATCCACACTACCGAGCCTAGCAATCTCCGCGACATACTAATGGAAGCAAGAGTGTGAGTCACTTTAACTATCAAGATTTTTCGCTAGTGTATGCTCGTGGCGCTGCCACAAAGGCCAATCAGTTACTTTCGCTTCCTCCAACAAAAGCAAACGACAGCTGCTTCCGCACTCTCTTCTTGTTTGTGTTCCCAATTCCCAATGTGTGCAGGTTCAATGGATGTGGTCTCTCCCAGACGGCAAGGAGGGATAAATCCTGCTAGAAAGCTCCAAGGGAGTATGGATGAGCTGGGTCTCACTGGCTAATACCTGCCACTCCTGACTAAATGCATGGCTGTGCGGTCATCATCGACGAGTCGATGGTGGTTCCATCCCTGCCCGAAAACTCACCCGTTGAAAGTCACCCATCAATCCAACCCTGTTTCCAACGTTGGAAGGAGTGGCAATCTCCAGAGTCGCAGACAAAAGTCCTTGAAGGTCTTGATCTTGATGGTCTTTTAATAAAATGCATGGCTGGCTCACAGCGCAAAGGTCCATCTCGTATCGCGGCCTCAGAGATGTTTTGGAACGTAGCCCTCAAAAGCTAGATACCACCAGTGTAGATAGCTGCTGCCTCATATAGCCGTGCTCTCTGCTTCAGATACCGGCATGGATAGTCAAACCAAAGCATTGCCGAAATTGCTCTTTGCTCTCCACAGGGACAAAGCCACAGATTCCATGAGGCAGAGCAGCATGGACCTTATGAGCGAGTGCCACTTGTATCCATAGTTCGTGTCAGGACCTTATGACTGAGGCGAGTGCCACCTGCATCCACAGTTCGTTTCAGGTTCCTGTTTTCTGGCTTGGAGACCCGCAGCTACAAAAGGCAAAGGGGTCTCCACCACGAGCAGCCATTTCTTTAACTAGTTCCACAGCGACTTTCACAGCAAGCAATCATAGCCACTAGCTAGCATCGAGACTACGATGGATGTGCAATGGCAGCCCCCTGATCTCCACCTGGACCGTCCGACGCTTTTCGCTCAGTCTTTAAAAACTGCCACGATTTAAGGGGATGTGTTTAAAAGGGGATGTTGAAGATGTGAAGACTTAAAGAGTTGTTTAAGGGTTTTTTACATATTTAAGGGGATGTTGTTAAGGGGATGTTTATTTAAGGGGATATTCATTCGTGATAAGGGGATGTTCCGTGTCGTTTCAGTGAAGGCTTAAAGAGTTGTTTCGAGGACATAAGGGGTTGTTGTTAAGGGGGTGTTTAAGGGGTTGTTGAAGATTTAAGGGGTTGTTTAAGGGATTGTTTCAAACGGCCGTCACGGTGGCAATTTCAAGTTTTTAAAAAATCCTGAGTGGGAAGCTGAGTTAAAACCGTCGGACGGTCCACGGAAGCCTCCACTCTCCTCAACAAAGGGTTTGATCTGTGCCTCGCACAGACCGCATGTATTATTTAAATGGCGTCAGACCCACTGCGATGTAGGGTCTCGTGAGGCCAGTGTGGCCTGTCAGCGGACTTGACTGTAGGTTGGGCGGGGTTGGATCTAATTAAGACTAAGCTAGCTAGGTACTGTAATAATAAGAATGACAACATGACAATGTGACCAAGACAACCGACAATGGTTATTTTGAGCCTTGCAGGATTTCTTCATGACCGGCTACGGTATGTGACGAAGACGGACGAGTTCGGCCGAGGACAGGCCCTTTCGTGACCAAGACGACCGACAATTGTTGGACCGAAACTAAAACGGACGACGACGGGACCGTGGTTATTAACAGACCCTTGCAGGACATCTTCAGACCGCTGCGGTATGTGACGAAGACGGACGAGTTCGGGCCCGAGGACAGGTCCTTTCGTGACCAAGACCACTGACAAAGGTTGGACCGAAACTAAAACGGACGACGTACGGGACTGTACCGCACATCCGTCGTCTGACAATGGTTGGAACGTTGTACAGCTACCGGTATTCGTACTAGTATTAATAAAACATTCCGTTAAGCCTGGAAGTGTTAAGTCCACCCCCGGTTATGAAGCCTCCTATGGTACTGGTGGTAGTTCCGCAAAGCCTGCAAAGTGATCTAAAAGTCATCAGCGCCAACCACCGACATGCCTGCAGCGTAACCAACCCACCAGAACCCACATACTAGTACCCGGTACAAATTTTCCTTCCTTCTTCTTTCTTGGTTCCTTGTCGTTTCCATTCATTTATTTGCAACAAGAACTTCCCAAGCAGCCCTATCAAACGCATCAGTCCTTGGCATCATGAAATCTGGAGACCGCACGGATACACCCCAGGAGCAACGCGCAAACTCGCCTCCGTCTTTGCTTGAGCTGCAGCAAGGCCGAGCAGCCTTGAGGACAACAACCAATGCACCACCTCCTAGAAGAAATAATGAAGGCATCCTCGTGGCTAACTTCAACTTGAATGAAGCGGCGAGGATGAATCGTATGTTCCTAATAATTGAACAGGTTCTTGGCATTGTTGGTGGCCACGACATGGACGGATCAGGTTTTGGGCCACAGCAAGAAGGAGAGGAAGGAGAAGGCACTCAGTAAATGACTGGGGGGCCACCCTCCAGAGTGGATTACAGCCACCACCCTGTATGGCAGCAACTGCACTTTTTGCACCTGCCTGGAAACCAACAGAGCTGCGTTGTGGACGACCGATAGCGAAAAAGATACGATACATTCCTTGACCAGTCGAATCTACACTCACTTTCATTTTAAAACCAATTAAGACGATAATACAAAGAATGCAAATCTGAAAAGGCTTCTGCCTTGCCCCGTACGCTGGCTTGATCATAAATCCCTCCTCTGACTCTGCAGCACCATGGCACGAAACGGTTGCTGCTGACTTCAAGGCACTATTACCGTCTATAGATCCTTTCCAACATCAATGGCAGCCGTGCCAAAGGTGTTCTCAGAGTATGAAGGACTGGGACTCGCCAGCAAGAGCGAGGGAATTGGAACTGATTGATTCAATCAATGGCAGATAATCCACCTACTCTACTCTAAACCCCCCTCGAGTACATCAATCGAAGGTGGCACAGCACCCACTCGCAGGTTATATCCAGCTGACAAGCAGGCTCGGGGCTCCTTCACAGCTCCGTCGGCGTTTTGCAAAGATTCAATCCCATATAATTCGACTGTCACTCAGCTCGATTGAATGATGGATCGAATCGAATCAGAATCGAATCATCCAATTAAGCCAGGCCACACTATAATCAGCGCATGTCCGTCCGTCGTCGGTCAAAATGTACAACAGCCTTTTTGATTTCGCTTTGCGCGACAGAAAAGGTCAGATCACTTTCGTCGTGGAATGGATCAAGTACAGCAGACGCAAACAGAAGCATCAGTTCAGTCAGCAGGAACAACGAAGATGCTTTGTAATGCCCGGCATGTGTATTGAAATTACCTGCTGCCGGGATACCCTTTCCAGAATGGTCGGTTTTGGCTGGGACAAGTGGACCAGTTGTGAGAAGATCTTTGATTCCAAGAAAAGCATTCTGCATGGCAACCACGGCATTGCATGCAGATGCAACGAGGCTGTGGACAATTCGCTGACTGAATTCTTTGAGAACATGAAACAGCTTGCGTGTCCAAGAGCAACTCTATTTATCAGGGAGTTAGTTGGGAACATGGTACAGCAGTCACTTCGAGACGATGACGATGAACTCCTCGAGCTTCCTTCCTGTGAAAGCAAGCGGCAACTGTATGGAAGGTACCTCAGAGAACGATGCTACCAGTATTCCGTGGACCAGAAGGGAGCAGTGAGCGACCTACAATATTCCATTAGCTGGCGTGGAACAGAAACCTGTCTGCAGCTGGGCCAAGTTCCACGCCTTCTGGGCCAAGAAGTATGCAAACATAGTAGTCTGTTGACCAAGGGAAGACATCTGCAACGAATGCTTCAAGCACGCAAACCGACACAAGTATCTGGTCAACCGGCTGCAGGCAAGGGAAGATCGTCAAGCGAATATTGATCAGATGCTAGTGTGATGGCGACAACAATGAGGAGGAAGAAGCAACACAAGACATCAACAATGATGATCCTCCAGCACCACCACCACCGGAGCCATCAAAACAGGAAAGGGCAAAGCTGCTCCAAGAGCAGACAGCACTCCTCGACAAGAGTGCACACCATGTCAGGATGTATCATGACCAGCGCGCACTCTTCCAACAATACAAGGAGCTTGCGAGGAATACGAAGGAGAAGCCTCCAAGCGAAAGGATCCTCTGCTACGTACCTGACTATGCGCAGAACATGGGGATTCCATGCTGCTTCGGCTTCGAGCAACCCGGTGAAACCTACTACTACAGCCCACTGAATACATTCTGCTTTGGTGTTGTCGATACCGCTGTGGATGAGCTTGGTGCCTACGTCTACACAGAAGAAGCGGCACAGAAAGGTGGAAACAATGTCGCCTCCCTTCTCTGGTTGCATCTACAGAGGTCTGATGTTCTCTACACTCCAGAGCCATTCAAGGAGCTAACGTTTTTCTTTGACAACTGTCCAGGTCAGAACAAGAACAACATGGTGATACGTCTTATCTGCCTGCTTGTCAAGCTGCGAGTGGCTACCACTGTGAAGTGTTGCTTCCTGATTAGAGGCCACACAAAGAATGACTGCGACAGACTCTTCAACATAATGAAAAAGGATCATCGAAAGGTATGTAACACCATGGCATCATTGTTGTTCTTCACATAAAAACCTGAAATGAAGAAGAAGCGAACGTCTCACCTACATGATTCGCTACTGCTGTTGCCGTATAGTCAAACATCTATCTGCCGGAAGACATGGTGGAAGCTCTTAGCCATGAACAAGTCCATCCAGTGTGGGTGACCAACCAAGATATGTTTGATTTCGACAAGTTCGGGAACCAGTACTTATACATGATCAAGAGCGGTGTTGATGACAACCACATGTTTGTGGCAACTGCAACCAAGGATAATGGGGCCACCATTGCCATTCAGGAATGGTGTAATGGGCCTACTGTCGAGGAGACAATGCAGAAGAAGTCCATCACCAAGAAGATCACCAAAGAACCACAATGTGATTCCAAGGCGACTTGGCTATTGCGCATGCAGGAGTTTGAAGGCATTCCTGCCATCGGTGTGCAGGATATCAAATGGATCGAACTGTACGGCAAATGGGGTCCTCTCATTCCTGAAGAGAAGCGAAAGCAGATGAAATGGTACCACGAGAATCCAGGAGATGCTAGACGCGAGAAGGCAAGAACAACCGGAATGCTTCCAAGGCGGCCAAAGCAGCCAGGACCATCACTGCTAATGGTGCTAATGGTGCCACCTAGTCTAATAGAGATGTTGTCTATATTTAAAATGAGTTTGTCATATGGTAAGAGCTTGGTTTTGGTGCTGGAACGCCTGTGAGCTTCATTGTGGTTGCTCACTTTTGGTTTTTCGCGATTTTCTCAGCTTCACGATTCTAGGATCTCCGGACGATGCAAGACGGTGCGTGGCGGATAATAGTGTGATCAGCCTTAATTGTGTCTCAATCCTCTTTCGTTGTGGAATCCAGTGATTCGATTCTTCACGCTAATGATCGAGAGATCTTTCGAATAGATCTGGGTAGAATGATTGATCATTCGCTCATTCGAATGATGTTGTTCTTTTGGGATCTTCTCTATGGCCTCCCTTCACAGCCAGAACATCATCTGGAAGGCGTAACGTCTCCCATTTTCTCCTCATTGCTCTCCCCGTACGCCCACCACCACAGCCACCCACCACCGCAGCCACTGCTCTGCCTAGTCAGCCCCCCTCGCTCCTTAACGTATCTATTTGGTATTTGTTAGCTATGAAAAAGAATTTGACATCCTCGCAACCCTTCTTTCAAAGATAAAGACGATGTCTGGTTTCAACCGCCAGTCTGTTTCGGGGCTATGACTACTCGCCCTTTTTGTACTAGCATTAGGCTTTTTGTCTGCTACTGGTACTGCCAAACCACCAAATATTGTCTTTTTGGTCTGTGAATCGACCGACGGCCGTATATGGCGCGAATGGTATCAGGACATGATTCCCTTGCCCAACTTGCACCAATTGGAAGCACAGCCGGGGGGCTGCAGTTTTCATCGTCACTACACCAACTCTCCCGTTTGCTGTACTTCGTGCTCGACACTGTTGAGTGGCCATCATGCCCACAAGATCGCACACATTCAGCGCCAACAACGCACCGACAAGACCACGGGAAAGAAATGGATTCGAGAATTGGCCGTCAATGGGGCTTGGAACAACTCTGAAGGCCCCCCTGTCAACTTTCAGCACCGGATCGATCAAATCTTGGAACGCAGTCTCAATTATACAGTCAAGCTTTCGGGCAAACGGGATTGGACCACAGGAGGACATACCGACAATGTCAAGATGAGTGCATGGACCATATATACTTGATTCCTGTACATTATTCCCAAACAAGGTGGATGGGCGGACGAGCTCCTCTTTGTCTGTGGAGACAACGGGACGGTACGAGGGCCCAATATATCGCCGCATTGGGATGATTGGAAAGCACTCAATGAGACTGTCGATTGGATGAAGAACTACCAAAAAGGTCAGGAGAATGGGACCATTGACAAGGACAAACCATTCTTTGTCTATCAAGGTATGAATATTGTGCACCAACCCTATCTGACCAATGAACACTGGTACAACAAGATTGATCCCAACAAAATCAATGTCCCAGAATGGATTCCTCTGGAGAAGTTACATCCATGTGATTTGCAGTCGTCCATGATGAAGGGCTGTATTCCCCCCATGGAAATGCCATGACTCAAGAATTCTTTTACGATTACTAGTTACCGTCGACGCAACATTCGCAGAATTTACTATGCCATGATTGCCGAGTTTGGTCGGAGCGTACACGGTGCACTACGCTAAAAGCTAGTGTTAAGATCTTTCGAGTGTTTTGAGTTTGAAAGAATGTAAGTTATGAGAGAGATTAGAAAGCTATGAAAAACTAATCAACGAGACACTTCGTCGTGAAGCTCATTGAGCAGGTCTCCCGCGGGAGGCCTTGAAGTGTGATAACGTAGGTTGTAGTAGAGAACCTACGTACTCCACGATCCAATTCCGGAACGCGTGAAAACTTCAGCTACATCTAAGAAGCACATTTTAGCCACCCAATTTACCAGTGTGCTTGTGCGTGATGGTCTTGTGCAAGAGCCTCTATAGTTCGATGCAGGTGCCTACTATTAACACAGCTTTGCGTCAAATGATCTTGATGTTGCCTATAGATTCGTACGGTACATTGCGTCATAATAAGCAAAGCTACAACTAGTGTTTACGCATATGCGTAACGAAAGTGCATGGAGAACAGAACATTCTTTACTATTGAACAAGATTCTTATGGGTTCGCCTGCTTCAACATGCAAATGGGCACATTCTTTGTGCACCAAGCTATCAACAGTTTTTGCAAACGGCATTCATTTTCCTTATGCCCCTTGGACCTGACCGCATTCTGCGCTTTATCCAAGGCAACAACTTTGGCCACCCCTCAAATCTTTTCCAGTTGCACAAAATAAACACGCACGATGGTCAAATTCAAGTGCCCGTACTGCTTAAAAACGTGCAAGACCGACTGGGGTTTGAAGCGGCATCTGGATACAGTTTGCCGAATCCCGCATTCGATTCAGACACGGACTGACCCTGACTCCCACAACAACGACCGTGGGGAGGATGACAATGGCGGTGGTGGCAAAAGGAGAGCAAGAGATGAGGAGACAAGCAGTGCAGAGGAAAATAGTGATGAGGAAAGACCCAGGAAGAAGATGCACTTGGAGCCAGAATCAGAGTGTTGGAGGTTGTATTACAGACACCTCAATACAAATTAGTCGTTTATCCCAATCTAGTTATAGGGGATATCTATATCTATTCTCTAGTTACATACATGGGGAGTTTAACTGATCTATATGGTCACCCCCTTCACTATATCCTTTGAAGTTGAATCAATCCCAGAAAACATGGAGAAAGATCACTTCTTGGAAATAGCTTAACAGTAAAACAGTATTTTACCTTTACTAAGCTAGAGTGTTACTAGCAACTAACACTATTTCCAAGAAGTGTATCATCTCTCGAAGTTCGCCTCGAATTCGAGATCTCGACCATGGGATATCGACATCCTATTACATGATATCCTCAAGATAAGGTAAACAGTTCAGCAGAGTCAAGGTTCAGGCAAAAAGGGCTCTAGCCTCACTGAGAGAGCTATCCCAACAGCCTAACAGGAAAAAGGCAACATCACGAAAGAATCGTGCCTGAGTCTGCGACCACACCGAATGACTACAACGGAGGATCGACTAATTGACCTCCAGTCAACTCGAGGAGGATACAAACATACCACGTGAAAGAACATCACTAACTACGAGCCACACTCTATTGCTTGAATGAAGTGAATACATCAAGAACTGATTGAGCTACAACCAATTGAGTGACAGACCAGGTGACCGCAGCTCGAAGGCTACTGCGTCAAGTCGATCTAAAGGAACTGAGCTTCCGAAAGCGAACAAACGGAGCAAGGAACTCACAGGAGTGAGCTCCGGATCAAGGAAGCAAGCTCACAGGAGTGAGCGATCGAATGAAGCCAGAAGAACGCAGGCAATCAAGCTCACAGGAGTGAGCAGACTTTGTGCTACGGAAACAGCCATCCGACTGCTACGTACAAGTACGAAAATCAACTATAAGAGTGGCATCACGATAGGTTGCCACGAAGACCAAGCTTGCAAGCAAGCTAGGACGACTAGCTAGCTAGGAGTCCAACAAGCGAACGACGCTGCCGGTGAGAGGAACAGGAGCAAGGCTACTGCACGATACGGAGCAGAGCTACTGAGAGCACAACAGCAAGCCAAGAGGAGCAACACCAGGAGTGTTGCCACGAAAGAGAAAGGAACGAGATAACAAGTTCCAACAGGAAAATACCACAGAGGTACTTCCGTGGGAGAGTTCCTATCCTCAACAAGAGAGCCATCGAAATAGGCTACTAGAAGAGAGGTGCGAAGGAAAATCCCAACGCACAACAAGACGAATTACCAGGCCGATTACACGGCAACGGCAGGTCCTACGGCAGGACTGTCATACAACAAGGTGTCCTTTGAGCAACAGAGGACAAGGCCTGAAGAGTGCAAGACCTGGTAGCCAACCAGGAACGAGTTGCATCCATCGGACACAGGCTGGATAAGAGCGAATTTGCGAATTTTCCAAAATCCACCAGCCAAGAACAAGAAGCAACAAGGCGACCGAAGCGATCGAACGACCGCTACTACTGCCACAAGAAGCAACGAACGAGTGACTACCGCTACTATCAAGAACAACGAAAGGATCGACAGCGCCATTGTGGATCGGCAACAAGAAGAAGAAGAGTGTCGGCAACTGCATGCTGTCGGCAGAAGAAGCCATTACTTTTTCTGAGGAAATCGCTGACAACAACCAGTTCCACGGAACGACAAAGAACAAGCCAAGCTGTTCACCGAACGGCAGCCACAAGCCACTGAACGTCACAGCCAGGCGAAAAAGGTATCTTTCGAGGATATCTTCCGGCACGGAGCCAGCTCTCCGTACGTCGGCAACAAGAGGATTTGCATGGCGAATCCAAGCATACCACCGGCACTTCCAGTGCAGCTACCGGCACAGTTAACGAAGCATGTCCTGGCTGCCACATTGTGCAAGATAGCTAGCTAGCCAACCGGCACCGCGGCTACCAGACCAATGCAGAGCTATAGGAAGCACAGGAGTGCATCCGCCTCCAGCATTGAAATAATTTCTTTGGAGAGTGTATTGAGTTTTACACTCAGCACCTCCTACCCCTTTCATGGAGTGTGTCTTGTGGCATCCAAGCCACAGCACCTCCTACTACCTTTTATGGAAAGTGTATTGTGCAACTGAAACACAGCACTTCCTCCACTGATTACAGGCAAACCTGAGGCAACACCAGCCTCTAGGTAGGCAACAACAGATACCATTACAGGACCATGCCCTTGCTATTTGATCACAGCAAGTGCACAGGAGTGTGAGGGTACCCAAAATCCAAAACCTACAATCCTACAAACAAAATCATCATAACATCCGCCTTTATAGGCAATGCCGTAACCATCAATGGCCACAACTACATGGCCAACAACCATCAATGGCTACAACAACCGCCAGCATCAATGGCAACAACAGCCAACAACGGTATCTACGGCTACCAAACCGATTACAACGAAATCGACCAAACCAAAACCTGAATTGCATCTACAATAACGGCATCTGCAACAACAGCAGAACAACAGTGAACGTTGAACCGAGTAGCTAGCTACAAGCGACTCAAGAGTTCACAAGACAAGGAACTAAGCCACAGGATGGCTGGAGCAGACAGAGTTTGACCCACAAGCGGGAACCTGATCAAAAGAAACAACAAGAGGGTGCACACCTCAGCTCCACTGCAACTACTGTACAGAGATTGCAACCAACCTTAGTCTCACACCAACAACAGAAGTACGTGAGTACATCAAATCAAGCCTACAATAGATACAACTACGGACAACTACAAGTCCTGCCACAGCCAACTCACAGGAGTGTAAGAGCAGTGACAGAACCAACACTTGTCCTGCCACAGCCAACTCACAGGAGTGTAAGAGCAGTGGCATCACCAACCAAAGGATCTACCGACTACATCACCATCGAACCATCATTGACCATGACACGTCCAGGTCCAGTGGAGCCCATCAAGTTGGAGCCTCCACAACTACTACCGAATACTTCCTTACAAGTATCCAAACTTCCAAGGGCTTCCAGCCCCAACTCAAAGTATCATTGTGGCAAGGAACTTCCTCCTAGTTCCAGCTACTACAACAGTTCTCACAAGTGTCGCCATAGCCTGACTTCCCAGTCTCAGCTACGGCAACACCAAATGACGGTACCAAGTGTACCAAGTGACGGCACCAGTCACCACAAGTGACGACACCAGCAGTCACGAGTCTCACATGAGTATAAACAACCATGACAAGAGGAAACAATAAATCAACCATTTCCTCATTCCATCTTCAGACATCGAGACCATCCAAGAACTAGGTTCAGTCGAACCCAACAAGTCCGTGGCTTCCAAGCTAATACATCATTTCCAGCTTCCATGCACCTTCCAATAGGGCATCACTTCCCACAAGTCTACGACTTCCAGAAGCTTCAACCAGCTTCCATCTACGAAGGGCTTCCAGCCCCATCACGTGTCAATGCAGCCGAACTTCCCAGTCCGAGCCGCAGGTACACCAAGTGACGGTATCATCCGACACCAGTCTTCCAGGAGTGGCATCACTCTCAGCAGGAGTGCCAGCCACAAAGACTTTTCTGATGATGACAATGTCCGTATTGTCTCGTCTCCACCGCTCAGCTTCTCGTCACCAACGGGATGCCGAGCAACAACTTCCAAGGTTTGTTTTGGACTCACTGCAAGCCAGTCGGCACGACGACGTGAGACTTGGATTACAAAGCCTTTCCAAGGTAGGAGCCTGCTTACCCAAGCACTGATAGACACTTTGAGTGCTATCGATTCTCAGGAATCCTAGAGGCACCGCCTCAAGCTCCACAGCAATCCAAGTTGCATCCAATGTCCAAACCATTCAAGCCAGCTTTGGCTACAACAAGTACAAGTCCTGCCACCGCTAGCTCACAGGAGTGTGCCAACAGTGACAGCAGGAGTGGTATTGATAAAGTTGTACCCACCAAAACCAAAGTCTCAAACCTTTTTAAACCTTCCTTTGAATTCTCCGATCGATCTATCCAGATTGACACACCAGATC